GGGAAGGGAAGGGAAGGGAAGGGAAGGGAAGGGAAGGGAAGGGAAGGGAAGGGAAAGGAAAGATTTCCCTGACCTTGCATGATTAAAACCTTCCCTATTAAGAGATCTTTTGCTATTCTTCTTGAATAGCACTATTTTCCTTCAGTAACACACCAATTTACACTGATAAATTGATTTAGTATTCATCCTTTAACTGTAAGTTTCATAAGGTCAGGGAGTTAATGACCTTATACCTGCTGCAAGGTATTCCATTCAGAAGTCAGTTGCTACATACATAGTGTCTGAACAAAGGAAAACCTGAGGATTTTATATAAGATCACTAAAATAACTGCAAAGAGGAGGAAAGACCTCTAACATATTAGAATCTTTTAATTAATGGATTACATTAATACGGAACAACTTAAATGGATACATTTTTGAGAAAAAATCGGGTGGCCTTTGAGATGAAAGAAAATCATAAACCAAAATATCACTTGTAGACAGCTTCCTTGGACACTAATCATTGACAAAATATCCAGTGTAACCAGTACGAAAACGACTTCAAAGACTATAGATTTATTTAGCAAAATTCAGCTACTTCTTGGACAGATCAGCTTTTAAGATATATATATATATAAGATATATATCTATCTATATAAGATAGATAGATATATAAATATGACTTAGCAGTCACTGAACTATTTACTCATAATCATAGTAATGGTTTTTTCCTTTAATTTTAAAGAGCGCCTTGAAAAACGTCTTGAAGAGGTGGTCCTAAGATCATTTGGATGCATTCTCTTCCCTTATATTCAGCCTTCAACTTTCCCTGTCTCACACTACTCCGAACCTCCAGGAAGTGACAACAGAACACCAACTCCTCCAGGAGCTGACATTCAGGAGCAGGGGCAGGTCAGTGTGCTCAGCAGCACCATGCCCAGCAAGCACAGGGCCATGTGAAACCTGGCAGATTAAAGCTACAATTGTAAAGTGGCGAGAAAACCACAAAACCACAAGGTGGGGTGGGGGATACCTTGTTGTGTGTTAGCTCAGGGGCAGTTCTTCAGGCTTAGCCCAGGTTATGAGTTCCAGCACTTTTAATTTTGTTGTAAAATGACAAGGAAGATATTGTTTACAATTCAAGAAACACTTTGAGAGAGAATTCATGCAAAAAAAGATGAAATCGGATTAGGATCATTAGTACCAAGCAACTCTGAACGTATTTGGTCAGCTGATAGAATCCATGGTAGCCCGCACTAGGTAACGTTTCCCTGAAGAGCACCTAGTATGTATTTAAAACAGATTGCTGAGCCCCAGGCCAAACCCAGGGCATCCGAATTCATCAAGTACCCACTGGTGACTGTCACAGGGGAGTTCTAGAGGTTGTTCCTTGGGAATGACTTCATCAGAGAAATGTGAAGTATGATTTAAAAAACACAGTGAATGTTAATAGACTTTTTAAATGTATTACAATAAAAGTTACATTGCCATTAAGCCTCCTCAAAATACCCCCCCTTCAGACACACTTACTTATTCTATCATCCTGGCCACTTTCTGCAGCAGTTCTGGAAGTCCTCTTGTCTGAGTATCTTTCGTTACTCTGCTTGGACTGCCTCAATGTCCCAAACTGACTCAAAGCATTTACCTTTCATGGTCATTCTGACTTCGGAGAATAGCCACAAGTTGCAGGAGCTGAGATCCAGCGAATAAGATAGATGAGGACAGAGCATGATGTTTTTGGCAGAAATTGCCATTCTGGAAGCAATGTGTGACGCAGAGCATTGTCGCGATGGAGCACAGAACTGCCCACTTCTCAGGCCGTTTTCTACACACATCGTTTCTTAAACATTCTAACAGCCCTTACAGTACCCAGAGTTTACCATGGTGCTCCTGGGTACAAACTCACCTCACACAGTTCCATCAAGGTCAAAAAACATGATCAATGTCATGTTGGTATTGAATTTTGATTGATGCACATTTTTCTCAAGAGGAGAACTGGGTGGTCTCCATGGAGAACTCTGCATCTTGGTCTCAGAATCATAACCATGAACCCAAGTCTCCTCGCCCATGATGACATTTCTTAAAAAGCTCGAATCTGAAGCAGCACAGCCACACAACTCCATTGAAATGTGCTACTTGGGATCCATGATTTTGGTACTTTTCAAAACACACTTTCTCTCGGTTGTAGCTCACAACCAACTGCACCAAACAAGTTGAAATTTGTCACACATTGTCACCAAGGTGCAGCATGCCACTTCTCTCATATTAAAAATCCCTGCCTTTTCATTGGATGGCACGTGGCAGCCACGTTGACTGTATTTTCCAATCATACTTCACTAGAGGAAGTTCTCACAATACTGTCTGTGGGATGGGACTGTACTCAGAGACTTTGCCGGGGCTGCGGCATGGTCATCTTTTAAAAATGCTCACCAAGTGATTCTTATCTTTTCCTTGATGAAGTATCAGTCCTGAAGGAATATTCAGTATGGGCATAAGGTATGGAACTCAGGTATAATTTAGCATAGGCTGTTACCTGAATGGGAGTGATAGTGCACACTGTCTTCTAGAAATAGCAGATCTTTCAGACAAGCAAATACAGCTGAGTGACAACACCAGCATCCAGCTGGAAGTTTCTAAACTACCATTTCTGTCACAGTCAGGTAGACAAACTATGAATTACTCAATCAGTTGATGAATCAGAAATCACTCATGCCATCTGGGTCATCCAGGCAGTTCTGGAGGGTCCTAAAATTCAACCGGTCCACACATGGCTTTACACATGTTATTGCATCATCTGCCAACTGGCAGTTCTATTCAGTCACACATACAGGATTCATTTTTAAGTAAGAAAAATAATAAGAATGCTAAGATGCTAAAGATCACTAATTCAATTTAATGAGCAACAGGCAGGAAGCAAAATAATTTTAAGATTCAAAATAAGAACCATCCAATTGTTCTTCAATGGAGCATTCCTCTTCCACTCTCTTTTTCTTTGTATCTTCAATTGTTCTTACATACATACAAGAAAATATTACATACTGAATATACTATATCATGTTTCTCCATCCACTAGATCTTGGCAATCCACATCAGTATTTAGAAAGCTTCCTCATTCTTTTTCCCTTGTTAGAGATACTGTTATACAGCAGTTTGCTTTCGCGTGTACACTGCATCCTGAAAGACACCACCTCATTTTTGCAGATTGGCATCAGCAAATTGAACTATCTGTGCCTTCAGGAGCTCATTCCATCATTCCATGAAGTCAGTTCTTCATAGATAATACAGGTATGCAGCAATGCAGTATGTGAGGTTTGAATTTCAACTCAGTTTTAGGAAGTTCTGCACTTGACTTCCCATTTCTCTTTGACCAAGACCCGAGTGCACGTGCGTGTGTATGTGTGTGTATATGTAATTAAAGTTCACAAAACCAATGGGTGTATCAGTCCAGGCCTTCAGGAAGCAGAAGCTAGGCCAGAAGTAGACACACCAGAGACTTAACAGAGTGAACACATGTGAGGGATAAAGGTCACAGGAAGCAGGAACAGGTTAGGAAAAGTCTTTGGATTACGTTGCAGGCTGAAACTGATGAAAGGAAAGAAGGAAGAGGAACATCACAGTGCAGTAACTCTGGGGAAGTTTCAGCCTTGAGGAAGGAGCAAAGAAAGAATTACCTGTCAGAAATGAGAGACACACAGAAGCAGTGGCCAGGTTCTCATCATCCCATCATGCTGCCACCAGCTATGATGCATGTGGACAGAAGCAGTGTTGGAATCCCAAACTGCAGAGCTTCTGGCTGTTCCACAACCCCACTCCCTGAAGCAAATTCTCTTGTAGGAAGATCCGAGTGGCGCATGTCCCTGACCACCTCGAGTTCCCCCTGAATTGCAAAGAACATCTTCTTCATACGTGTTTGGGAGCAACTCCATGGGTCTTTCTTCCTGAAAGGTAGTATTGGAAGGGGTAGAGAATGGACAACAGCAGCCCATCTCTGCAGGTGGCCTTGCAGCCACAAATTTTTCTCATCTTCTCCACTGCTCTCTTCTAAATTCCTCTCACCCTCACCTCTCATATCAGTAGGTCCCGATGGCTTACCTGGTGGTGTACCAAGCCTTCATTCCAAAAGCATCTGGCCACTTTGTAAGTCATACCTTTCTCAGTCCGGGATTGCTACATGTGTGCATCCAGAGTAACAAAGGGTAAATGGAATACATACTAGGAAGTGCTAAAGAGGATTGCCTGGGCTCTGCATGAATTCCTTTCTATTCCCATTGCATAGAAGCCTCCTCCTACTCACCAGGGTCAATCATCCATGCCAGTATGGTGATTTCTTATCTGCTGATGCCCAGGCACAATCCAATGGAACTTGACAGTCACAGTTAAAGTTTAATACAATTCCTACCTTGATGCCTAACAAGTGTGCTGTCCTTCTGGGGACGCCGCAGAACACAGAGTCCAGGCATAAGAAAGACAAAAATTCTGAGCAAGTCATTAAATATGATGGTATGGAGGTGTTGTTGCTTGTGCTTCTTAGACCTAGATATATATACTCTTCCTGTTGGAGACACTGCTATGAAGCAGGGTGCTTTAGTGTGTATATTGCATCTCAAAAGACTCCCCTCATTTTTGCAGGTTGGCATCAGCAGCCTAAACCTTATCTGTACATTCAGGAGATCATTGCAACACTCCATGAATTCAGCTCTTCATAGGTAATACAGGTATGTAGCAATGCAGTATATAAGACCAGTGGACCTATAATCAGTGCTCACTCTGGCACTCCCTATTCTATCAAGTGAGTTTTCTGGTCAGACATTTGTTGTGTAAAATCCCGTGCACATGGATCCAGCATTCTATACTCCCCTGGATAGTGGTGGCAGTGGCTGAGGCTCTCCAGACAGAGAGGCAAGTATATACCCCAGATAGTTGTCTGTCTTTAGTAAGGATGAACCACCAGCTCTTCCGGGGACATAACTTACCACTGAGAAGGTGACTGTTATTCTCAAAGAATGGTCTGTTGCTGACAGGTTGGACCGTCAGAGGCAGTAGTGACTAAACAGGCCTTGATAGGTAGAAGTCCTTGCTGTTGGCCCCATGATAACCTCCATCTCTGCCACTGAGGCTGCTGAATTCTTGTGTACCCATTTAGAAGTGCAAAGGCTGATAAGGAAGGCTGACTTCAACTGGCCCAGTTTACTTGGGTTTCCAGGGCCTCTTCCATGGAGGCCATTAGCATGTAGCATAAAGCTCTTCACCCTGCGCCCACTCCCACGCTTTCTTCCACAGGTCTCCTCCCTAGTCTCCTGTGTTTCCAGTCTCCAGTTCTTTTCCTTCCAAACCCTTGACCAGATGGCCAGGCTGTTGGACACTGCCCAAAAAATCTACACTTTTTCAGATGTTGGGTCATTTTTCCTTTTACATGAAATAAATGACCAGTTCACTGTTCATAGCTCTGCCCACCAGAAAGATATTCTCTGTCTGCAAGTTTTGAGCGTGGCTAGAACGCAGTCTCCATTCATGTTCCATACTCCAAACAGATCTATCCACAAACCAAATGCAGGCTTTCTTCCTTCCACAGCTGACTGTACAGAGTCTCAATTTGCCACAGGTGCCAACGTGGACAGGGTACCCATGCAGCCCTGTGGGGGATGTGAGAGATTAGACAACCTGTTCTTGCAGATTCATGTGCCCTTTTGTCCTATGCAGCTTGATCCTGGATATACCATGTTCAACTTATAATAAATAGGCTGCTTCAGGTCTACCCGACTTTATCATGGTAGATTCAATAGAACCCAGCTCATTCTGGTAAATTCTGGATGAATGGTCCTTGGTCCCATGGTTAAATGTTCCTTCTCGACCAAGGCCAAGTAACTTAGAAAGAACCATTTCTCAAAAGACACATCATTTTCTGTTGCAGATGATAGGGCCTCGCTTAAGATCCCTATAGACCAGCAAGTGATTCTTTTGCCCGTGATTGTGAGTCTTCACTTATCTTTTCTTACCACTGAAGCCTCCAACACCATAGGATCTGCCTGATGATACTCAGGGTTGCCTGTATCATAGCCTGCACCTCTGGCAAAAAACTCTGTCCCACCCTTAGCCTTCTCAAAGCAGGCAGCCTTCCTTTCATGTCACAGCCTAAAGGCTGGAGAGGTTTCTCAGTGTGGCAGAACCGAAAAGGTTCACTGTGTGCTCTGCCTCCTTTTTTCCACCAAGGGAAACAAGCTGCATTAATCTGCTTTTTACTTTGGAGGATGCATCCTGGGCAGAGCCTGGCCTTGATGTGAGCACTACAGCAGATCTGAAGTCCTGGCAGCTGGGAGCCGTCTGCTGGCACCCTCCTTGCTGCAAGTACTCTTGGAAGGACAGCTGAGAATCTCCATGGCCACCACACAGAGTGGCGATGTCCCAGTAAGCTTTAAAAAAGTGGTTGGTATGTGAAAGTAATAAGTGAAATGCATAAGATGACAAAAATGCTAGAGTATGATAAAAGAAATAAGAAGGCTCTAGGCTTTGGAATGCAACCAGTATCTGAAGAATCCTATAAGGGATCTGAGGTGCACATGCTACAACAATACGTAGATGGAGGAGAGGTTGCAGCACTTGGCAAAAACGAAATATTCCCTGTCATTCAGTTAGAAGGAAGCCTGCGCTTTGATTCACTATTGTTTCAATTCCCATTCTCGAGCTCTTGGAACCATTCATTCCTCAGTTATAATTTACATTTCTTTTACTGCCTAATAATTGATTTTTTTTTCCTTCTGCTGTGAATCAGCTGACTTACTCCTTAGTTGAGCTTTCAACAATACTGAGTGCCTCCTATTTTTTATTCAACCTCTTTTTGAAAAGGTTATCACATCAATTTCACAACTTTTAACATCTCAGTACTGAAACTCTCAAAGATTGTTTTCTATTCCCTTGCCATGCCCCTGTTTGAGCTACTTCAAATACCAAGTTGTTTTTCAGTTATATCTTCAGAACAAAGCACTGTAATTTGAAATGCAGTAACAGAGAGATGAACTCCTTGTCTTGCCTCAGATTCTGTGTATGCCTCTCCTAGCAGATCTCTTCTGTTCTCACAATCAGACATGGATTCCTCTCATTCCTTCTCTCTACAGGGTGTCTCAGCTCAAGAGTATTCCATTATGTCTGGAAGGTCACTATATCCAACAGTTAAACAAGATGCCTACGAGTCCCAAGAAGAGCTTCAGCCACAGCAGTCTATAAAATCACTCTGTCCTCTGAACTCTTAGGACATTTGACTTTCACTGGCTACTACTAGTTATTTTCCTTGTACTTCTATTGTTTTTCTTTCTCATCTCTTATCTCTTTATGCTTATTGTACAGAGAACCTAAAGGCAAGGTCTCAGTCTTGTCTTCAAACCTGACAGTTAAGTATATACAAATTTTTATGCAAGCACACATACTTATATAACATACTTACATTTATGCACATACACATAAACATTCTATGGTTTGCCTCAGGTTCTTTAATACAGACCTGCGAATCACTCTGCATCTTCAAACTTACTACCCTTCTGTCAAGTCTCTCCTTAATTTGTCATTATCTTTTTATTGTTAGAACTCTACTGAAACCCTCTAGGCACGCTGTCTGGAGCTATGTGGAGCTTTCCCCACTGGGAAGAGCAGGTAGAGAGCTGCAAGGGACGAGTCATGAAGAAACCAAAGTAATGCCCTTGAGATTCAAATAAGGCTCAGCTGGTGGTTTTATATAGGAATTAGTCCATTTCTAACTTAGATTCTTAGCCTCCGGGGTAGGATTGCCTAGTTGTCCAGCCAACAAGTATCGAACAGTTACACAAAATTCTGCTACCTTGAAGCTAATGGCTGTAACACAATAGCTAGCCCAAAACTAAGGAAACAGAAGATGAAAGAGCTAAAGTGGTGGGAGAGGAGGATGGAAAGGAGAAGCAAAAGATACAGGATCCGAGATGCCCCCAAGAAGAGTGCTCATGGGTGTCAGATTTGCAGTTGCCACTAGTAAGATGGGAACTAAAGAGATGCCACTGCATCTGTCAAACAGGAGGTCCCCAGTGGTCAGGCAATTTCACCAGACCAGTGAGAACCGAATTCAAATCAAGTGCTGTGAGAATCCAATGTGGCTAAGCCTGACATGTAATAGACTCTGTCAAGGAAGTCTGCAGCTTCAAGAATAGACATTCAGCATTTGAGGAGAAAGGAGGACTGTTATAGTTTATATACAGATGTCCCCCCAAAGCCTCACATGCTTATAGGTGAGGCTTTGGAAAGGTCACTAGATCATGAGTGCATAACACCCATCACTGGATTAGTCCACTGATGGGTTTCCAGCTGGGTGTGATATTGGGAGGTAAAACCTGTAGGAAGAGGTGGGTCACTGTGGGTGTGGTCTGGAATGATATACATCCCTCCTCTCTCCTTGATCCCTTGCTGCTCCTTGCCTTCCATGCCATGAGCTCTTTTGTCTCTGCCATGCCCCTCTGAAACGCCTGCCTGCCTGCCTTGGAACCAGCTGACTATGAATTGAAACCTCTCCAAAGTGTGAGCCAAAATAACCTCTCATCTTTTAATGTGTGGGTGTTGGGTATTTTGTACCAGCAACAGAGAAAGTAACTAAGAAAGATTTTATACTTTGAAATGCAGTAATACCAAGAGTGGTGTTACTGCAGTGATGCTGTCTGACAATATGGTTCAGCAGCCTTTGGAACTAGCTTGCAAGTAGAGTTTGAAAAGGTTTGGAGATGCCAGCTGAAGAAGCAGCCCTAGAATGCTCTGATCTGAGCTTGATAGGAGGAGCTCAGAAGACCAGAATGTTGACCACAATGTAACTGGAAAAGACCAGGCTCAAGAAGTTTCACTCATGAAGAAGGATTTCATTGGCAGTTGGACACCAGGCCATGTCTGGTTCACTCCGGCAGAAAATCTATCTTCAGTTTGCTCATGTCCTGAAATTTTGCAGGAGCCTGAGATTTAAGGCAGCAAACTGATTAATCTGATAGAAGAAACGTCAAGGGAGTCTAATGCTGAGCCAGTAGCATGGCTACTATGGGAGGTTTTTAGCCAGGTTTACCTAGAGAATCAAAAACAAACATCCCAGCAGAATGATTTTAAAAGTTTTGACTTTGGCTGGAAAGGAAGCTCCCATAAAATTGGGTCTTGCAAAGATGGAGCAGAGGAGAACTTGGTTACTAAAAAATCTAGCATTAAAAAGCCAAGTACTGAAACTGGGCATGGTGGTACACACCTGTAATCCTAGCACTCAGGAGACTGAGGCAGGAAGATTGCTATGAATTCAAAGCTAGCCTAGGATACATATCCACACCCTGTTTCAAGGAGAAAAAAAGCCAAGTACTTTGGAACAGGACAATAGAAGAGGTGGCCTGAGAATACCAGAAGAACCAGCATGCCTCCCCCCTTTCCAGGCTCAAAATTGCACATGTTAAAAACTTGCTTTGAGAAGAGAGACCCAAGGCATCATCCTCCAGAATGGTGGCAGCCTAGAGAATGCAAACTGATTTGCCAGGATTCATTTCACCATGCTCAGCCAATCCAAGCACTCAGAGGCCTCTCCAGTTACCAGCAAGATGGCAGACGGCTCAGGTACTGCTGCAGCTGGCAGTAGATCTTGGCATCATCTATGCTGTGCTGGCTTTACACACAGGCAGAATACAAGAGTTGTGGGGTCAAGAAGGCATCCTTCCAGATTTCAGAAGAAGGTCTGAAAGGCCAGGCAGCTTGCTCCTGTGAGGGCAGCTTATGAAGCTATGAGTGTGAAGCTAAAGGTACAGTGTAGACTCCAGAAAGTTGGAGAAGCCAGGAATATGGATAGGCTAAGGAAAGCCACAGGCAATGACCACAGCTAGCTCTAGAGAGAGAAAGTGGAGCTACAACCACCAGCAGTGCTGTACAGGTAGGGCTATTCAAGCCCTTGGGAGTTCACATCTCGTGAACTCCCCAAGTGGTGGACACAGAACTATAGGATTTAATGTTTGTCCTGTATGTTTTATTCTTGCTTTGATCCCATTCCTTTCTGCGCTCCTATTTCTACCTTTTGGAATGGGCATGTTTATTCTGTGCCATTGTATGTTGGAAATACTTAACTTTCTTTTCATTTTCACAGGGGCTCACAGAGAATAGTGTGAGAATAGTTGCCTTAAATCTCAGAGAAGACTTTGGACTTGAACTTTCCACCAATGCTGTAACTGTTAGGACTTTGGGTACTCTTAGAGATAAACTACATGCCATTTGCATAAAGAGATGTACATGAGTCTTTCAGGGGCCAGGAATAAAATGTTATGGTTTATATCTCATGTCTCCCCAAAGCCTCATATGCTCAGAGGTGGGACTTTGGAGAGGTAACTATACCATGGGTGTGTGATATTCATCACTGGTTTAGTCCACAATGGGTTTCTAGCTGGGTGTGATATTGTGAGGTGAAGCCCGTGGGAAGAGGTGGGTCACTGTGGGTGTGGCCTGGAATGATATACATCCCTCCTCTCTCCTTGATCCTTCGCTGCTTTTTGCCTGCATGAGCTCTTTCTTTTCTGCCATGCCCCTCTGAAATGTCTGCCTGCCTTGGAGTCAGCCGAACATGGACTGAAACCTGTACACAGTGTGAGCCAAAATAACTTCTCATCTTTTAATTTATGGGTGTTGAGTATTTTGTCCCAGTAGTGAGAAAGTAACTAAGACAAGGACCTAGAAATTCATCCTGTTTTAATATAGAGGACACCAGGGCATGGATGTCACCTAGAAGGAAAAAAAAATTAAGCAAACTTAAAAGAGAAAAAATATTGACCTGACTTTGGAGAGGAAAAGAATATTTTTTTCCTCTGGGAAGGGCTGTGAGAAGAATAAGACAACAGGAACAATGTTATTATGGTTGGGATCTTAAGTGTCCCCCAAAAAACCCATGCACTAAATTTGGTTCCCTACTTATGGCACTCTTGGGAGATGTGGAACGTTTAGTAGATTGGGCGAGAGAAAGGAAGTTAGGTTGAGGAGAATAATGGGACCATTGCCCATTCCCCTCTGTTTGCACCCAGCCACCACAAATGCGTCATTTCTTCCACCACACACCCCTCACCACGATGTCCTGCAGGCCCAAGAGCAACAGGGACAAATAACCGTGGACTGAACTCTCTGAAACCAAAAACCAAAATAAATCTTTTCTCCTTGTAAGTTGATTTTCTCAGTCACTTTGCTACACAATGACAAAAAAGCTGCCACAAATACTAAGTTCTGAAGACAATAAATGAGGGTGTTCCTACACGTTGCCTCTTCCCTCTGTGAGGGAGAAGGCAAGGTACTCTGTGAGTGAGAGAGAGCTGGAGCTGACAGGGGCCCAAAGACAGTGATCAACACAGGACAGGAGCCTAGGAAGAGATCTGCCATGCTTTGTGGAGCGACTCCCCAAGGCTTGCAAACGCAATTTGTTGCAATAGCAACTGGTAAATAATGTGAATGTCTCCAGAATGGAGTTCTCAGGGGCAAGAATGAAAAGTGACGTTTAGGATTGGGGACTGGTAGACAGAGGCACCGCCAGGTCACTATGAAAGGAGACTGAGGACCACGGACAGTGTGATGGAAAGGACTCACAAAGCCCTCCAGGCGGGGTAGGGAAGAACCAAAAGGATAGAGAGGACATCAGAAAAGGGCGGATCGTCGTAAGAGTTCACGGTTTGCTCGGGGTAGTAGGAAAGATGAGAGAATGCTGTGCAAGAGAGGAACTGTAAAGTTTTCAGAAGTTACCTACGTCTGGGTCAAAGTACGGTCCACACTGTGTTTGAGGAAGCGAATTTCACGATCACAAAGTGGGCAAAGGCAACACAATCCGAGCCAGGATGGAGTTTTCCAGGACAACGGCAGAGGCCACTGTGGAGGAGAGGATGAACCACCGGCCTGGGAAGAAGGTGGGACAGTGACCTAGAGAAGACGCCACCAAAGGCAGACCACAAGTGAGGAGTTCAGGTCTCCACGAGGCACTAAGAAGAGAAAGATGGGAGCTATTTTCTCATCAGCTAACTTACGCTTCACGTTTTACTTCTATTACCCAGCTGCCTCCTGACAGTCTCCTCTTGGGTCCACTTCTGGGGGTTTTGTCATTGTTTTCGTGATGTGGTACTGGGGACTGAACCAAGGGCCGCACGCACGTTAGGCAAGTAGCAGCATCCGAGCCCTGGTATATGTTTTAGGACCATCCACTTCTAATCAAATGCATCTTCTCCTACCCTGTAATTTACTCTTCTTCCTCTCATTCTGCTTTTAAAATTGTAGACAGTGGCATTACTGTTCAGCTAGGCAGCTACTCTACAAACACAAGAAACAAAATATCTTTATCATCTCTTCTTGCCTCCCCCCTTTCATTTCCATTTGCAAGTGCTCAAAGTGCTCTCACCCTCAATTCAAAACAGAACAGTAATAAAAATCTTCCTTGCTGGGCATGGTGGCGGAGAATGACTGCGAGTTCAAGGCCAGCCTGGGCAACAAAGTAAGCTCAAGGCTAGCCTGCACTACACAGCAAGACCCTGTCTCAAAAACAACAACAAAATCTTCCTTCAGGGTCACACAGACCCGAGTTTGAATCCCAGTTCAACCATTTCTATTTTGAATAATCATGGGCACAAATACATACTGATCCTTAGTTTTTCTTTCTTTAAAATGGTTATAATACTGGTACTAGTCACATATAGCTATTATGAAATTTATATGAATACATACAAAGAATTAAGTACCCTGTAGCTGTGTTAAAAGATACAAAGAACATTAGTTCTAGAACTCCCTTCTAGATTCATGCATTCATGCAGTGAAGCTTACAATCATATTTCTTAATTTCTGTATATTTATGGGCAAATTTCTTAAATTTTTATGAATGCTTGGATTATTACAAATAAACTATTTTGATCATTTGATAAGTCAAGTAGTAATAATCATTTTGAATTATAAACAAAGTGGTTTTAATTACAATGTCTTTAAATTCATGCCCTTTGAATAATAAACATGCAGAATTAGCATTTTGGTCATTCACTACCAATTCTCAACAATTAATTCTAACATGTAAATAAAATGAAGTCACCGATAAGTTTTTAAATGCACCTTAATTTAGAAAATATAATACTGAATTCTAAGTAAAACGTTCTTTCAAACACACTGTTAATGACCCTACACTGCAAGTAGCTGTTTGTTTCACAGAAATATACAATAGCTGGGTTTTGAGCATGGAAGGAAACAAACTGCTACAGTGGTGCTGGCCCCTGGGCTCCTCTGACCTCCCCCATCCCACCTGTCAAACCAACATTCACATTCTCTTCTTACTAATCCCTTCTTAAAGCTAAATTCAACTCCCCCTTATCCAGGGCAAAGGTTCAGAGTAAGAGGGAAAATAAGGACATTAATAACCCTGACTATTAAACCGCAGTATCATTCCACTGCCTGCTATCTGCTATGCCATCATTGTCAACACCTCTGCCTCTGCCTAGTTCTCCTTCCTGGTCTTCTCCGGCATGGCCATTGAAACTGAACACATACATTAAGCAATACATCTGTGTGAGAGGGCAAACATTCCACCAAAACGGCAGCTGGTGAAAGGAAGCATGGCTTGCTCGTATGGTGACTTTGACAAAAATTACTCAGTACGACATCAAAACTTCAGTACTTTTTCCCATGAAGAGCCAATGGCAGAGTCAGGTTAGGATGAAATTTTGTTAAAATTTACAGCACATATCTGACTGAAGGTTCTCCCTTTTACTTTTGGCTCTTTTTAAGGAAGAAATCTAGTAGGGCTAGCCAGAGGAAAAGATTAGGAAATAAATGGCCACGTCTGTTATCCTACCCAACAATGCACATTCTACCCAATGTATGTGCGATATTACTCTTTGCTCTCCCACCACAAACAGACCACACACCCCCACCAAAGGGAGAAACACGCTCAGTGCGGTATAGTCCAGAAAAAGTCCTCTCATTTGCATGAGAATTAATTAGGAAAATAAATAAATGCTTCATGACCTTAGTCATTACAGAAACTTAGTCCTGTATGAGTCCTAACACACGTGGATGGGTCCAAAAGCAAACAAAAAAAAACAAAGGGACAAAAGCTCCTCTGTGACAAAAGCCAGTTTTAAAAGACAAGGGGGAAAAAGAAAGCCGGGCATGGTGGTGCATGTCTGTAATCCCAGCACTTGGGAGGCTGAGGCAGGAGCACTGCTGTGAATTTGTGGCTAGCCTGAGTTACATAGTGAACTCAAGGCCAGCCTGAACTACACAGATCCTGTCTTAAAAACAAACAAACAAAAAGAGAGGAAAAAGAAATGTTAGGGGCTGAGGATTTAGCTCAGCGGCACAGTGCCTGCCTGGCAAGCGCAAGGTTGTGAGTTCAATTCCCGGTACAGAAAAAAAAAAAACAAAAACCAACAACAAAGAAAACCAAAAAGAAATGTTAGCCTGAGCAGCTACACTTTTTCTCCTAACCAACAGAACCTCAGGGTGGGAAGGTAACTGTCTACACAGCTCGCAATTCTGGGGTATCCCATAACAGAAAAGGCACCATGGCACAGCTGCAAAGCCCTGGGTCCTCCTTTTCCCAGTGGCCTAAATCAATCCCCAGGCCAGGACAAGATGCTGAGTGAGATGCCTAATTATTTCAGGCCACTAGGGTAAGCACTATTCCTGGCCGCTCTGCAGGCAGCGCCGAAGATGAGGGTTTCTCATTCTCTTTGGTGAGTTGGCTCAGTGCAAACTGAGATTTTTCTTTCAGTCTTTCAGACAGATAAGTAGGAAAGACAAGCTCCAGTCCTGAGAGAGACACAATCGAGGTTAATTTCAGTTCCTTTTCGGTGCAGTAAAGTCCACTTTCCCTCTGCTGCCTCCCGACACCTGTCCTTATATTTTTATCTGCTTATTAAATACCTAGTGAGATATCTTCGGCAGTCTCTGGTGTTCACCCCGTCATCCAAGGCCTCTCCGTCTGAGAAATAACAGGATTGCCCCGCAAGGCAGCTTCCTTCAGCGGCTGCGGACCTGGGAGAAGGTCTCCCGCGGATATTTCGAGGGTGTGGCCGAAACCAACGCCCCCTCTCAGGGGAAGCAATACCGAGGGCTTCGACTTGTCCATCACGAAGCCGCTCGTTCTTGGCGGAGCACTGCGCTCACAACACCCGCCCCCCTTATTACCTAACACAGAAAGGGAAAGGGGAAGCTAGTTATTAGCATTTTTAAAAGGGTGAACTCCAGCTTTAAAAGTGTAGGGCTGGAGGGATGACTCCGTAGTAGAGGGGCAAGCATCTCACATGTACTCGGCCCTGGGTTCAGGCCCCAGCTCAGGGCTCAGGGGAAGAAAAGTTTAGAGGAGATGTTTAAGGTGAGTCCAACAAGGCCGTGTTGTCACTGGAAGTGCATCAGCTGACACCTGTCCGAGGCTTTATAGGTCACAGCCTCTTTGTGAGCTCAGCGGCGTGTTTTACTCACCATGCTGCTCTTTGAACACTTCATTTACTTTCTTACACCGTGGACACCCGCGAAGAGGCACCAGGTGTGCGTTCCAGGCACGGCTACAGCACACACAGGCTGAGCCCGCTGGGGACGCAGCGTCAGGCTGGAGAATTTCTAAGGTCGTGAAGACAGCAAGGCATTAGGGGGAGCAAGCTCTAAGGAAATACCCGCCCCTCGGAAGACAGACCGAGCAGGCCCCTTCCTAACACAAGTCAGACACTAACCAGTTTACCCTGCGCGTTCCCAAACTGCACTGCTCCCCCTGGGGACCCTCCAAGAAACGCAAACACACGCGCTTCGAGGCGGGGAGGTGTAAAAGAACATTCCGCCCCACTATACCGAGGCCGCCGCAGATTTATATCGCACACACACATGTATTTGGAGGAAGTTAATTCCTGGTGACAGCTGAGCATGACAAATGCAACAGCACACAAGTGGAAACGCGGGGCGCGGGGAGCTGCAACTACAAACCCATGCAGACGCGCGCACACGCACACGCGCACGCACACGCAGCGAGGCTCCCCTCAGCACACACGTGGCCGCACTTACAGGAGTTTAACCACAACCGGAAAACCCCAAGCGCGGAGGCTCCGGCGCCCGCGAGCTGCCCGCACCCCC